TCGATTCGGGAGCGAGTGAGATGAAATTTGTTAATTTCCAGTCTCCCTTTTCCAGCAGGCGAACTATAAGTCTCGAATTTCTTGTTATAAGAAACCTTTCTAATTTTCTATTGCTCAATAAATTATTTGTATCCGCAGGCTTCGGACTCATCTACTAAAACCTACTATTTACTACTTTTTTTACGTTATGATACTATTTGGGTACTTTTTTTAGATTTCAGCCACTAAAAGCTACTATTTCTATTTTTTTCGAATTTACTTTAAATTCGCTAATACTAGAAATCAAAAAACTATTTTCCAAAATTATAGTCTCAAATTTTTTAAAACGATTCAATTATTTTCAAAAAATATTCGAAATTCAATTATTATCAATATCTAGTATTTTCATAAAAACCAAAAGAATTCAATTATTTTAAAAAAATTGAAAAAATTCATCTAAAATTATTTTCATAATTATAATAAAATTTCCACGAGAATTCAATTAATTTAGAATAGCATTTTCAAACAATTTTCGAAAAAATCAATTATTTAACAAAATTTTTATACAATTCTTCACAATGATTCAAATACTTCCACTAATAATAACATTTTTCACGAAATTTCAATTTTTAAAAAAAATTTTTGATGAAATTCTAAGCTAGAATTCAATTATTTTCATAAATATTAAAACTCATCGAAGAATTTCAATTATTTTTAATACTATTTGAAATTAATTAATTGAAAAATTCAATTAATTTCACAAATAAATTCATATTTTCATAAACATTTAAAATTCTTCTAAAAAAATCAATTATTTTTAAAAACTTTAATAAAAAGTTTTCGAAAGAATTCAATTATTTCTCTACAAAATTACAAAATAAATATTAAAATTTTCCGCTAAAATTCAATTAATTAAAAAAAACAATATTTTTAGCAGGAATTCAATTATTATTATCAAAAATAACAAAATAATTAGCAGGAATTCAATTATTTTGGAAAATTTTCATAAAATTCTTGGGAAAAATTCAATTATCACTATAAAATAACAGAACTCTTTGAAGAAATTCAATTATTTTGAAAAATAAAAAATTTTTATCAGGAATTCAATTATTCTCATAAATATTAAAATTATCCGCTGAAATTAATTTATTTAAAAAAAAAACAAAATTTTTAGCAGGAATTCAATTATTTTAAAAAATTTTCACATAAATTATTCACTGAAATTCAATTATTTTTTAAAACTTTTATAAAATTCTTCGCAGAAATTCAATTATTTTTAAAAATTGTATTAAATATTTAGTAAATTCTTCCACAGTTATTTAATAAATTAATTTTTTCGATTTTTGGAAGACGTATATAAAAGGTAAAAGAAAAACACTCTTTTACTTTTTTATAAAATAGACGACGTTTCGGTGGTCAGGTTCGCCACCATCATCAGGTCACTTTAATAGAAAAATTTTTTTAAAAAAATTAATACAACAAAATTTTGAAAATTTAAATTTAAACAAAAAATAAAAAACAATTTTTACCTAGTTAAAGTCAATAAATAAACATCACGTCAATAAATTAAAAACATAAATAAACGCAATACAACAAAAAAATAAAATATTTAAATTTACAAATCACAAACATATTAAAACGAGTGATTAGTCAAACTGACTGAGCCGGTGACAATTTTCGCGTTATATACAGTCGATGGGGTCAATGACCCGCAATCGAAATATTATGAATTATAACCATTATTTCAATTTATTAAGCAAAGGAAAATAGGAATTACTAAGAAACTGTATATCTTCCTTCTTGTTAATAGTAAAATTATTGCATTTAATATAAATCATCTCAGAAATTAATCGTTTTTTATAAGAAGTTTCATAATCTAAAATTTCTGCATCGTCAAAATTAAAAGAATGATTATATTCAGTTTGATGTTTGTTCACAACGGATTCGAGGTTTTTGTTTTTATGCTCGCTAATTCTTTTTTTCAAAGTACGCTTTGATTCACCAATATATGTTGCAGGGCAACTATTACAATTAAATTTATAAACAATATTATTCCGATCCCACTTTTTTGTCAAGTCCTTTCCTAATTTTATTACAGAGCTTAAGCTTTTTTCCACAATAGGAATAGAAAGTAAATTATATTTTTTTAAAATATTAGATAATTGATAATAAATATCATTGAAAGGAATACAGATTTTAGGTAGTTGTTGATAAATACTAACGACATTGTTAGTTTGTTTTTTTATCTATTGTTTTATGAATTAATGTATGTTTTCGTTTTTTAATATTTTTTTGTATAAATTCTAAAGGGTAATCGTTGTTTTGCAAAATTTTAAAGATTCGTTTAATGTTTTCATTATGAAAGGACTTGTGAGACAATAAAATTGCTCTATCATATAAATTGTAAACAATGTTTTTCTTTTGTTGAATTGGATGGCGTGAAAAATAATTTATCAATCTATGAGAAGAAATGGATTTTTGATACCAATTAGTGATGAGTTGATTGTTATTTTTTATTAATGTCATATCTAGGAAATTAATTTTATTATCCATTTCTAGTTCATGAGTAAATTTTAAATTAATATTAAACGAATTAAAAGTGTCAATGAAAAGTTCGACTTGATCTTTATGGACGCACAAAAGTGTGTCGTCCACATATCTATAATAAAATAGAGGAACACAATTGAAATTGTTTTTAAGCAAATTCAAACAATCAGTTTCCACGTCATCCATTACAATATCCGCAAAAAATGGAGATATCGGTGACCCCATCGGAGTACCGTAAATTTGTTTATAAATTCTTTCATCAAAAACAAAATAAGTATTATCAAATAAAAATTCAGTACAATTAATAATGTCAACAAAAGGAATTTTACATTTATTATGAATAATATTGTTTCTTCTATCAAGGCTTTGTATAACTAAATCGCATGGAATATTAGTGAAAAGTGAACTAACATCAAGAGAAAGTAAAACAAAATCTTGTGGTACAGTAATATTCTTCAATTTTTCTTTTAACTCAAAGCTATTGTTTACATGAGATTTTGGTAAAGGAATTACAGTTTTTAACTCTTCGTATATGATTTTGGCCAAAAAATGAGTTGGACTATTTATTAGCGAAATAATAGGACGAAGAGGTGCATTATCTTTATGAATTTTTGGCAAACCATAAAATTTTGCCAAAGAGGTATTAGTCATAGTTAACTGATTATTATGATATTTTCGTTTAAGAAATTCATTGTCATTTAAATTTTTTAAAATTTTATAAGTTCTTGATTGTAATTTGGATAAAACTCCTTTCGTTGAAATTTCTTTATAAGTGCGTCGATCGGAAAGTAAGTCATGGGCTTTGGAAATGTAGTCTGATTTTTTCATACAAACTGAAACATTTTCTGTTCATAATATTAACTCAAAAAAACAAAATTGGTTAATTAATTTAACTAATACTGTCATTCCTCAAGAAGTTTGTGATGTTATTTCTTTGGGCCAAAATTACAGTTGTACGAAACAGAATTCTAAACATGTTTCGAAACAAGAATCTATCAATATTATAAAAAATTTAGAATGTACTATTTCGAGTTTAGATATTAGTTCTGAAGTCAAAAATGAGATTAGACAAAAAGTTAGTAATAGTGTAATGTCAAATCTGTCCAAAAAAAACAACATCACATTTGAAGACAGAAGTTTTGCCATTAAGTTAAATTCTGCAAAAAGTTTCTTGAAAGAAAATCCTGACATATTTTTTACGAATTCAGACAAAGGAAATGTTTCAGTTTGTATGAAAAAATCAGACTACATTTCCAAAGCCCATGACTTACTTTCCGATCGACGCACTTATAAAGAAATTTCAACGAAAGGAGTTTTATCCAAATTACAATCAAGAACTTATAAAATTTTAAAAAATTTAAATGACAATGAATTTCTTAAACGAAAATATCATAATAATCAGTTAACTATGACTAATACCTCTTTGGCAAAATTTTATGGTTTGCCAAAAATTCATAAAGATAATGCACCTCTTCGTCCTATTATTTCGCTAATAAATAGTCCAACTCATTTTTTGGCCAAAATCATATACGAAGAGTTAAAAACTGTAATTCCTTTACCAAAATCTCATGTAAACAATAGCTTTGAGTTAAAAGAAAAATTGAAGAATATTACTGTACCACAAGATTTTGTTTTACTTTCTCTTGATGTTAGTTCACTTTTCACTAATATTCCATGCGATTTAGTTATACAAAGCCTTGATAGAAGAAACAATATTATTCATAATAAATGTAAAATTCCTTTTGTTGACATTATTAATTGTACTGAATTTTTATTTGATAATACTTATTTTGTTTTTGATGAAAGAATTTATAAACAAATTTACGGTACTCCGATGGGGTCACCGATATCTCCATTTTTTGCGGATATTGTAATGGATGACGTGGAAACTGATTGTTTGAATTTGCTTAAAAACAATTTCAATTGTGTTCCTCTATTTTATTATAGATATGTGGACGACACACTTTTGTGCGTCCATAAAGATCAAGTCGAACTTTTCATTGACACTTTTAATTCGTTTAATATTAATTTAAAATTTACTCATGAACTAGAAATGGATAATAAAATTAATTTCCTAGATATGACATTAATAAAAAATAACAATCAACTCATCACTAATTGGTATCAAAAATCCATTTCTTCTCATAGATTGATAAATTATTTTTCACGCCATCCAATTCAACAAAAGAAAAACATTGTTTACAATTTATATGATAGAGCAATTTTATTGTCTCACAAGTCCTTTCATAATGAAAACATTAAACGAATCTTTAAAATTTTGCAAAACAACGATTACCCTTTAGAATTTATACAAAAAAATATTAAAAAACGAAAACATACATTAATTCATAAAACAATAGATAAAAAAACAAACTAACAATGTCGTTAGTATTTATCAACAACTACCTAAAATCTGTATTCCTTTCAATGATATTTATTATCAATTATCTAATATTTAAAAAAAATATAATTTACTTTCTATTCCTATTGTGGAAAAAAGCTTAAGCTCTGTAATAAAATTAGGAAAGGACTTGACAAAAAAGTGGGATCGGAATAATATTGTTTATAAATTTAATTGTAATAGTTGCCCTGCAACATATATTGGTGAATCAAAGCGTACTTTGAAAAAAAGAATTAGCGAGCATAAAAACAAAAACCTCGAATCCGTTGTGAACAAACATCAAACTGAATATAATCATTCTTTTAATTTTGACGATGCAGAAATTTTAGATTATGAAACTTCTTATAAAAAACGATTAATTTCTGAGATGATTTATATTAAATGCAATAATTTTACTATTAACAAGAAGGAAGATATACAGTTTCTTAGTAATTCCTATTTTCCTTTGCTTAATAAATTGAAATAATGGTTATAATTCATAATATTTCGATTGCGGGTCATTGACCCCATCGACTGTATATAACGCGAAAATTGTCACCGGCTCAGTCAGTTTGACTAATCACTCGTTTTAATATGTTTGTGATTTGTAAATTTAAATATTTTATTTTTTTGTTGTATTGCGTTTATTTATGTTTTTAATTTATTGACGTGATGTTTATTTATTGACTTTAACTAGGTAAAAATTGTTTTTTATTTTTTGTTTAAATTTAAATTTTCAAAATTTTGTTGTATTAATTTTTTTAAAAAAATTTTTCTATTAAAGTGACCTGATGATGGTGGCGAACCTGACCACCGAAACGTCGTCTATTTTATAAAAAAGTAAAAGAGTGTTTTTCTTTTACCTTTTATATACGTCTTCCAAAAATCGAAAAAATTAATTTTTTAAAAATTGTAATAACATTTTTGTCAATAATTCAATTATTTTTATAAATAATAAAATCCTTCTCAAGAATTCAATTATTTTTTTAAATTTTAATAAATTTCTTAGCAATTATTCAATTATTTTCATAAATGATAAAATTCATCGCAGGATTTCAATTATTTATAATACAATTTTACAGGAGAAAAATGTAATTATTCTTAAAAATTTAATTTCAATTCCTTGAAAAAATCAATTATTTAAAATCAAATGTTTTTGGCAATTCCTCGAAAAAATCCAATTATTTTCAAAAATATTAGAATTTTTCACAGGATTTCAATTATTTTCAAATAGTTTAATAAAATTTTTCGAAAGAAATAAATTATTTCAAATACAATTTTAATTAAATTCTTTTTTCGAAATAATTCAATCATTATTTTAGATTTTGATAAAATTCTTTCCAAGATTTCAATTATTTTCTAGAATTTTAATATAATTCTTCGAAATATTCAATTATTTTCAAGAATTAAAATAAAATTTTGGCAAAATTCAATTATTTCCAATTATTTTTATAAATTCTTTTCAAAATTCAATTATTTTCAGGGATTTTTATAAAATTCTTTCCAAAATTCAATTATTATTTTCTATTTTAGATCCGCCATTTTGAATCCACCATTTTGATTTTTGAGAATAATGTGAACAAAGTGGAAAAAAGGAATTTTTCAAGTGTATTAATAAGATGTTACATTTGATGCATAATCTAGAAAATATATATTTACACTTTGAGAGAGAGAGAGATATATTCACGTGAACCGCATCATGAACAACCTCATTGCTCTAAAGATAACTGTGTCGTAGTATGGTTAACCTAACCGCGCGATCGTGCATGACGACGCTTCAAATACCAGAGAACCAGAAATTGGAAACTTCTATTTAAATACAATCGATTATTTTTATATTCAAACGTTTTAATTAAAAATATTCTTTTGTGCACAAACAAAAACCACGCTTAAACATTAAATTTACCGCGAAAAAAGAAACTGTCATCAACATCATCATCATCATCATCATCAATTTATATAAAAGAGAAAATACATATAAAACAATAGGGTTTTTTTTTCATTGCGGCAAAAAAAAAAAATTTTTTTTTCCAAACAAAAGCAAAACAAAGAAAAAAAAATTTGATTGTGATTTAAATGAAAAGACAATCAAAAAATATGGATAAAAAAATGCAAATGATAATAAACAGATAATAAATCAAAATAAATAGAAATAAACAAGAAATAAATAGAAATAAAGAAAAATAAACTAGAAAAAAATGCTAATAACAAAGATAATAATAAAAAATAATAATAAAAATAAATAATAAAAAACAATAATAAAAAGCAAAAATGAAAAAATAAAAGAATGAAACAATAAATGAATGAAAAAATAAAAAAATTAAAAATTAAATAAAATTAATATAAACTGATAAAAGAACTAAAATATAAAATAAACGTTAAATTAACAAAACAGTTGAAACAACTCAAAATTTCATTACAAAACAAGCCAATTTGATTATTGTTTCGGATGTAAATAATTTTCGTTTTTCCATTATCGGGAAAATTTGATTGACAATCAGATAAATTTTATTTAGTATCAGCTCAAGTTTGAAGCTGAATCAGTCAACTAAAAGTGGCAAGTGAATTTTTCAATGACAATTAATTATTAAACAGTAGCCGTCTGTATTTTGATTGATTAAGCCAGTGCCATAAATGTTTTCATAGGATAGTAAATATATAACAATCAATCGACACTATTTTTAGTACACAATTTTTTGCAATCGATAATAATAATTTTTGAAAAAGTATCAAAAAAACTAACTTTATAATTGAAAAAAAGTAATAAAAAATGTAGCTAATCAAAAAAAAAAAAAAATCAAAAATAATAATTAATATTATTATTATTAATAATAATATTGATGAAAATACTGGTAATAATAATGATAATAACACTAAATATTATTATTATAAAAATTATTATATTATTATTATATTATTATTATATTATTATTATATTATTATTATATTATTATTAATTATTATTAATTATTATTTTTCATTATTATTTATCAAAAAGTTAATTTCACGACTAAAAAAACTCATTTTTAATGATTCACAAAAAGCACAAAAATTTTCTTCTGTTTTATTAATTATATAAAAATAAAAACAAAATATAAATAAAAAATAAAATAAAAATATAATTATTATTATTTAATTTTAATTTTTTGTTTATAATTTACAATGGTACAGTTATTTTTTAAATTATGATAAAATCTCACACATTTTTTATAAATATATTATTAAAATGAATTCACAATCATTATATGAACGATTTATTAAAAAATCTTCAACATTTAATTATACTTTTTTATAATTATGTAAATACGAATAAAATTATTTACTGCATCATTTGAAATGCTCTTTGACTTTCTATATTTGAAAAGTTTAAATACTGATTTTATATTAAAAAAGTTACATTTTTAGTTTGATATATTGAAAAAGTTTAATATGTCAGTATTTAATATTGACATTGCTGAATTTTATTTTATTAAAAAAAATATGACATTTTATATTATTTAATATTAAATTTTACATTATTATTATTATTAAGTTTTATTTTATTTATTTAAGTCTTTAAAATATTTTTTTCCAAAATTTTGTATTTAATTAATTTAGAAATTTATAAATGAATGTACAATTTAAGTATACAAGAAAATATTTCTAAATTTAAATTTAACATTTCTTTTCAAAAAATTAGTAAACAAGAAAAAAGTTTTTTCAACTTTTACCAAAAAAAAAACTGAATTCAAAGGAAGGTAATGCTCCATTTTGTAAAATTAGCTTTCTGTCTTTCTGTGAACTGACATTTTTTACTTTTTTTTCCTGAAAAAGTTTCACAATACTCTACAGTAGTGGGAGTTTTTGTTTTTTATTTAACTTTGTCTCACCATTTCACTTCAAGATTTTTTCCCATTAAAATCCATATAGACAAATAGAAGTATTTTAACTTTTATAATATATCGTTTAAATTAGGGAAAAACTTTTATTTGACTTCTCGAAAAATAAAAAAAAATTTCTCTGTTTCAGAAATATTGAACTACAAGGAACGAGATTCATTTCGTCATACATTTTTTTTATGGTAAGCATCGGCTATAAAGTGGAAAATGTACCTATTCAGAATTTTTATTGCATGCAATGAATCATCAAAAAGTTTGATTTCTATCTCTTCGTTTTTTCAACTGCTAAATATTAATTTAGTAGTGCTTAGGGAAATATTCGGAGTTTATTTATTTTATTTTTATTTTGAACCAAATTTTACATTGTAAATTTTTTTTTATTTTTTTATTTTATTCATTTTATTTTTATTCTGAATCAAATTTTACATTGTAAATTTTTTTTTATTTTTTTATTTTATTCATTTTATTTTTATTCTGAATCAAATTTTACATTGTAAATTTTTTTTTTACAATTTCAGTGAATTTCAAAAAATTAAAAAAAAAATCGTCGCAAGAATTCAATTATTTTTATAAATAATTAAATAATTATACTGAAAAATGTCAATAAAATTCTTCCTAAAAATCAATTATTTTTGTATAAAATAATATTCCTCGCTAAAATTCAATTATTTCTAAAAATTTCAATGAAATTCTTGGCAAAAATTCAATTATTTTCATTAAAAAAAAAATTCTTCGCAGAATTTCAATTATTTCTTGAAACTTTAATAAAAGTCTTTGTCAGAATTCAATTATTTCTATAAATAACGAAATTTTTCAAAGGAATTCAATTATTTTTAATACAATTTTCAATAAATTCCTGAAAAAAATTTTGTTACTTCATAATTAAAATTTGAATAAATCAATTAATTTATTCTAAAAAAGTTAAGTTTCAATTAGGTTTAAAATTAAAATGACAAAAAATGTTATTTAAAATTCTAAAAAATTATGTTTTGAAAATATTTCAGATTTATTTTGTAAAGATAATTGAATTTTTTTTTTAAACGACTGACATTTTGTGAAATAATTGAAATTTCCTGAATTTTCAATAGAAATAATTGAATTTTTAAAGAATTTTATTGATAATTTTAAAAATAGTAAATAATTTAGTAAACAATTCAAATTTGTTCAAGATAATTGAATTTTTACAAATAAACGACAATTCTTTCCAAAAATTAAATTATCTTCTAAAAAAAATCAAATTCTTTGCATGAATTCAATTATTTTCTTCAAAAAATCAAATTCTTTGCAAAAATTCAATTCTTTTCCAAAATTTCAATAATAAAAATTGTAATAAAAATCCTGAAAATTCATTTGAAAAAGAAAACAATTAAATTTTTTAAGTATCAATTGAAGTTTTTTAACATAATAAAAAACGTGATCAATAATTTAAATTTTTTAAAATTGATAATAATTGAATTTTGCAAAAAATTTTATTGAAAATAATTGAATTCTTGTGACGAATATTGTTATTTATAAAAATAATAGTTTTCTGCACAGAATTTTATAAAAATCTGTGACAATAATTGATTCTTGCAAAGAATTTTATTAAAATCCCAAAAAATAATTGGAGGCCTGTGACAATCATTGTTATTTATAAAAATAATTGAATTTAAAAAAAATTTTATTAAAATTCTTCAAATGAATTGAATTTTGCAAAGAATTTTATTAGAATTCCAGAAAATAATTGAATTTTGGAAAAAAATGTATTACAATTCTTGAAAATAATTGAATTTTGACAAAAATTTTATTAAAATTTTTGAAAATAATTGAATTTTTATAAGAATAATTTTATTAAAATCCCTAAAAATAATTGAATTTTGATAAAAATTTAATTAAAATTCTTGAAAATAATTGAATTTTGTAAAGAATTTCATTAAAATTTTTGATAATAATTGAATTTTTCTAATAAGAATTTTATTAAAATCCCTGAAAATAATTGAATTTTGGAAAAAATTTTATTAAAATTCTTGAAAATAATTGAATTTTGGAAAAAAATTTATTCAAATTCTTGAAAATAATTGAATTTTTTTGAGGAATATTGTTATTTATGAAAATAATTGAATTTTGTTAATAAGGAAAATAATTGAATTTTATAAAGAATTTTATTAAAATTCTTCAAAATAATTGAATTTTGCTAGTAAGAATTTTAAGAAAACCCCTGAATATAATTGAATTTTACTAATAAGAATTTTATTAAAATCACTGAAAATAATTGAATTTTGCTAAGAATTTTATTAAAATCACTGAAAATAATTGAATTTTGCTAAGAATTTTATTAAAATCTCTGAAAATAATTGAATATTGCAAAGAATTTCATTACAATTTTTGATAATAATTGAATTTTGATACGTTTTTTGTTTTAATTTAATATCCTGAGAAAAACTGTGCATCTCCAAAGTAATTTTTTTTAATCTAATTGACAGATTTAGAGAGAGGGAGAGAGAGACTTGCATAAATGAATGAATAGAGATAAGTGAATGAAATTTAATACAATATTAAACGATTCCCATAGAAAATGTCAGTGAAAGATGCGTGTGCGAGGTTTGACCTCGATTATAGAGTATTTCTTCCTAACGGAAAAACGCTCTAACTCTATTTGCTCTCGAAAGCGCCATGCCACACAACTCTCGAAACTAAAACCTCGAGAGAATTCCATAATGTATTTTTCAAAATGGCCATTCTCTTGACCGACAAAAATAAATCTTTACGAATCTCCTTCTCTCTCTTTCTTTCTCTATTTTAGCCTTTCTCTCTTGCTCGAGGAAAATTGTAAAAGTTGAAACTCATCGACGCAATGCGACGGGTGACGTTTCAATAAAAATGTACTTGTCTACTTTCACCTTAAACACACATTTTCTCTTTGAAATCATTTGTCAAATCTTCACTTTGAGAATCAATTTCTTCAAGTTGGCTCTTCAAATTTTACAATTTTTTTTATTTCGCAAAAAAAAGGAGAGGAAAATTTTCCTTTTTACTGTCAGGGATGACAAAAAAATTTAATTTTGCTTTTCCTTGACTTTTTCCTAATTTTGAGACAAAATTTGCACTTTTTCACTAAGAAATATTCTGATTTACTCTAAAAATTATAAGAAAGTCAAAAAAATCTTCTGTTACTTTTATTTGCGAATTTCTTTAATTGTAAAGTTATTCGAAAACACCAATAACTTCTTTTTTTAATATAAATATTCAAATATTATTATTTTCCTACAGGAATTAAGACTTTGCAAAATCTCAAATTCAAACCTTTTGAAATTTTTAAACTTATAAAAATATTGTTTCTGTAACTTCATCAAAATTATATTTTAAATACAATTTCTTCTTCAATAAAATGTGTATTAAAAAATAAATACTTAGAATTATATAAAAAAAACTTCAATTAAACTTTATCAAAAGTATTAGTTCTATGGAATTGTTAATTAAAAGTATGAAACATTTATATATTAATTGAATTTTGCAAAGAATTTTCTTTAAATACCAGAAATAATTGGATTTTGCAAAAAATTTTATTAAAATTATGAAAATAATTGAATTTTGCAAAAGAATTTGATTAAAACTCCTGCAAATAATTGAAATATGCCAAGAATTTTCTTTGAATTACAGAAATAATTGAATTTTGCAACGAATTTTATTAAAATTATGAAAATAATTGAATTTTGCAAAGAATTTTCTTCGAATTCCAAAAATAATTGAATTTTGCAAAGAATTTTATTAAAATTATGAAAATAATTAAATTTTGCAAAAAATTTGATTAAAGCTCCTGCAAATAATTGAATTTTGCAAAAAATTTGATTAAAACTCCTGCAAATAATTGAATTTTGCAAAGAATCTTATTAAAACTGTTGAAAATAATTGAATTTTCCAGAGAATTTTCTTTAAATTCCAGAAATAATTAAATTTTGCAAAAAAATTTATTATAATTGTTGAAAATAATTGAATTTTCCAGAGAATTTTCTTTAAATTCCAGAAATAATTAAATTTTGCAAAAAAATTTATTATAATTGTTGAAAATAATTGAATTTTGCAAAGAATTTTCTTTAAATTCTAGAAATAATTGAATTTTGCAAAGAATTTTATTAAAATTTTGAAAATAATTGAATTTTGCAAAGAATTTTATTATAATTGTTGAAAATAACTGAATTTTGCAAAGAATTTTTTTAAAATTATGAAAATAATTGAATTTAGAAAGAATTTTATTAAAAATCCTCCAAATAATTGAATTTTTGCAAAAAAATTTATTAAAATCCTTGAAAAAAATTGAATTTTGCAAAGAATTTTCTTTAAATTCCAGTAATAATTGAATTATGCAAAGAATTTTATTAAAATTTTGAAAATAATTGAATTTTGCAAAGAATTTGATTAAGAATCCAACAAATAATTGAATTTTGCAAAAAAATTTGTTAAAATTCTTGAAAATAATTGAATTTTGCAAAAAAATTTTTTAAAATTATGAAAATTATTGTATTTTGCAAAGAATTTGATTAAAACTCCTGAAAATAATTGAATTTTGCAAAGAATTTTATTAAAATTATGAAAATAATTGAATTTAGAAAGAATTTTTTTAAAAATCCTGCCAATAATTGAATTTTGCAAAAAAATTTATTAAAATTCTTAAAAATAATTGAGTTTTGCAAAGAATTTTTTTTAAATTCCAGAAATAATTGAATTTTGCAAAGAATTTTATTAAAATTTTCAAAATAATAGAATTTTGCAAAAAATTTTATTATAATTGTTGAAAATAATTGAATTTTGCAATAAATTTTATTATAATTGTTGAAAATAACTGAATTTTGCAAAGAATTTTATTAAAATTATGAAAATAATTGAATTTAGAAAGAATTTTATTAAAAATCCTGCCAATAATTGAATTTTGCAAAAAAAATTTATTAAAATTCTTGAAAATAATTGAATTTTGCAAAGAATTTTCTTTAAATTTCAGTAATAATTGAATTATGCAAAGAATTTTATTAAAATTATGAAAATAATTGAATTTAGAAAGAATTTTATTAAAATTCTTGAAAGTAATTGAATTTTGCAAAGAATTTTCTTTAAATTTCAGTAATAATTGAATTATGCAAAGAATTTTATTAAAATTATGAAAATAATTGAATTTAGAAAGAATTTTATTAAAATTCTTGAAAGTAAT